AAACACAGTTTTTATAGAGTACTTTTTTAGTACTGTACCGATTTTGTCCGTTATTCCTTTCACGTGAAGCATGAACGCTGGTTGCCTTAAAACGCCAGGACCTTTGATACTAGAACTCTTTGATACCCTCCCGATAGAAGACTTTTCTTTCTTTGACCCGATATCTGTCATGGACTTGAAGAAATTTTATTGTCAATTTTCAATTTTGACAACTTGAAATTATATTCCTTTAAAACATCCTGGCCGAGGATAAGAAATTCCTTATCACCTTGCTCAACAAGCAACCTCGATAGTTATTTATGTCCATTAATTGTCAACGACACTTTGGTGGACGCCTGCACTTTTATTGGCATTCCGCCCACTGTACGCAATGGAAAACTCGGAGTATCATCAATCTGCAAATGTAACCTTTCTACAAAACAACGAGAGATTGAAACCGAAGCACTAGTATCCACCAACGCCTTGCACCTTACATTATTAACAAAAACAGATATAAAAATTATCTACACTAAAACTATCAATTGTGTACACATTTCCTAAATGTTCAGCCGCGCTTTGCTGACGTCCACGTTGAGGAGATCCCGACGAAGATCCACTACTATGTGCCAGTGAATACACTTGACGTGGCGTATCCTGCTGCACGATTGGTGCCCATGGTACTTAATATTCCGACTGTTTAGACTCGGGTCCAACAATCGGTGTAGAGTCACCCTGCGTTTGCCAACAGTGAGAGTGCTCCTTATGAAAATATACTGGCAATTCAATATTTTGTCGACCCACATCAAAACCGTGATTAAATATGTCTTCTACTTGCATAATTGTTTTTCTCAACTCCTCTTTCGACAAATACAAATTACTAGCCAGCATCCATTGAAAACTGAGTATCAAAGCCTTCAAGAAATGTCTAATAAACTGAACATCTTGAGTCTTCGTTTTCGTCGCTAACTTATATAAACTATAAAAATAACTTGTCAGCGATTCGTTAGGCCCTGTAATAAAACTCTCGGGCCCAGTCCATTTGCGAGAGAAATTCCTCCTTAAGCTTTTGTGCAATTATACCATACGTCGTGTATGACGCAAAATACGTTTTGTACCATTGTAGAGCTGGCACCTCCAAATACGACGCTAACACGTATCTCTTTTGCCTATCTGACCAATTATTCAATACGCTGATCGCCTCAAACTGATTTATAAAATCGTCAACGTCATTCAACCCCGTAAACTTTTGCGCCGCAATACAATGCATATTCTTTCTTGCTCTTTTCACACGCACAAGAAATAAAACAATAAAATAACTAATATAAAACAAAATTACGACCTTATATATGTTTTTCTCTTCCTCTCTTTGGAGATTTTTCGAAAAATCATATAAAATTTTTCCACATTGGAATTTCCACGTAAGGCGATCGTACACCACTTGTAAGGCGATCTCCACCACTTGTAAGGCGATCTCCACCACTTATAGCATAGGACGTAGCTTGGGTTTGCGTAGCGAGAGGTACTTTATAATATAAAACTGGGATTAGCTTCATAAATAGATATTTATTACGTATTTTACATATTTCATGGAAGCTTCTTCTAGAACCGCTAAGATGTTCTTTTGTTCTATCCTATTTTTTAAATACATTCCAAACACAAACCTATATTCATTCAGCCAGTATTATAGACTACTCATAGAGTAGAGCCTCGACTACAATACTATGTTTACGGGGTCTACAGCAGAGCTTCAAAATTCTGCTTACGCTGCGCAATTCGGTGCTGTATTGACGGTCACGCCACTTTGTTCAGTAGGTACTAGGCTCGTCTCCAGCGTAGCTGCTGGCAAACCAGTCGAAGGCAAGTAGCCGACCATAATAATACCTTAAGTAAGATAATCGGGACTGCGATGAAATTTCACTAGTAAGAGGCATTTGGTATAGAACGATGCAACCGCGACTAAAAGCCCTGGTTTTATGGTGCAGGTCTTTCTAGGGAATCTCTTGTTTCAGCATTTAGAATCAGTCTACTGGTCAATGGTACACCCCTCTGCGGCTTCTCAAGGGATCCGCTGGATGCAAGGGGCGCAGGACAGGTCGTTGTGGCATTCTCTTGGGGGAGGCCTATGTTCAGCAGTGGATGTCTTTCGGCTGATATGATGATAATGATAACCCGTTTCCGACTCTTCCTGCCCATATAAGACCCTGTGTATAGCCACGGATAATTATAATATTATAATTTATACTACTTAGTACAGATACCCGACCTCATACAAAGAAACGTCGCACTGCTCCGCTTATTCTCAAGCTTATTTTGATCCTTATCGTTGATCAAATAGATGCTACCGATTGTAGTTATATTCGAAAAGGCCGACAGAAGGTAGCTATTACATTTTGGTCAAGATTGTTGCTTTTGCTCAGGCGTTAATTATATACGACAACCATACAATAAAGTCGCAAAGAAGCCGAGTCTGTACTTGTTAACCAACTTCAAAAAAAGATGGAGTATTTTCTGTGTGTATGTCACGCAATTACTCCGTTTGTGAACCGATACTGATGATTATTTTTTTGTTGGAACTCTGACAACTCACGCTTCACCAAAAAATTGTCTATGCCAAAATTGTTCACAGAAAAAAAGGTTTAATGGTTTCTAATACAATTCCCCTGTATTTCCCATGGTTCCGGATTTCCCTATACCGTCTCAGTTAAAAGAAAACACTACGTAATGGCCTAATTTTATAGGTCACGGTAGCCTTATGTAAATTAATAAATTTACTTGTTTGTTAACCGCGCACAAAGATTTAAAAGTCGCCCAACACATGATGCAGCAAGAATTTGATAAACTGTGTAAATGGGCACATGATGTGGGTCTATCTATTAATTTTCAAAAAACCAAACTCTTACATATACAGTCACCATACTTAAAATGTAGACATTTACCGCGAGTTGTAGCTCACGATCATAATTGCATGCATCATCAGCCCATAAACTGTCATTGTAAACCATTAGAATTGGTAAAGGAACATATGTATCTCGGATTAAAAATTGACCATAAATTTAACTGGGGCCCACATGTTGAACTTGTATGTAATAATCTTAGGGCGGTACTTTCCAAGTTATGTATACTCAAACAAAAACTACCATATAATGCATTGAGAATGTTATATTTGGCACTGGCTGACTCTATAAATAATTATTGTATTTCGAGCTATGGTCGTACGTACAAAACATTCCTACAGAATATTTATAGCCTTCAAATAAGATTGCTTAAGACCATTGTACCTCCTAGAATTAGATATAAATTTAAAGATAATTATGACCAACTATTTCAGTACTGTAACGTAATGAATGTCTTTGATAAAGTTAAATTAGCAATCATAACCGAAAATTGTGGAAAAATAAAGTCGTTAAAAGTTACAATTAGACCGAATTCATTACGTACACTATCACATCTACCTATGTATGATGTACCTAAATATAACAATAATTACGGTAAAAGAGTTTGAATGTGTGAACTTCCTGTGATATTAAATAGCTTACCAAAAAATCCTATACAAGTCAAAAACAAATTAAAAAGATTTTATATGAAAGATCAATATCAGAGGAGGCATACGCAAACTGGTCATTGATTTAATTGTTGTACCTTACATATTAACGCAACTCACTAGCAAAGGATAAATAATCTTTAATTTTAAGATTCTACCTTGAATGTACCGTAACTTGTTACTAATATTTGTAATAAACAGTTTTAAATTTTTTTTTTAAATAAAACGAAAATTATGCCGTACGATTTGTAAAGAGCAATCTTATGTATGAAACTCATAAAATTACATAATTCATATAGACACATGCTGTCTACCTCCGACATCTATTTGCCTACTAAATATGCACCCTTTGCCAATACTGAATAGCCTTTTTGAGATGTAAACAGCCGATCCCCAGAATCAATCAAACCAGCTGAATCTGGTTCCTTGTAAGTTACTACCACGTGACGACGAATAACTTTCAGAAGTACATTGTGGAATGTAATATATGTAATAGATTTGGGAACAAACAATTGTGTAATTACATCTACTTCTGGGGTTTAGTTTCTGAACTATTCTTGTTACAGCGACTAAACATGACAAAGGTTTTTGTTGAATTGTAAAAGGGTATTAGGTAATTAATCTAAAGTTAACAAACTTCAGCTGTCACTTGGTTAACCGGTCAAATACATATTTAGTAGCAGTAGAGCTTGAGAAAGAGTTCATCCAGGGTAGTACTGCCACCTTGCCTATTTCTGTCGCCAAGCAGTATTGTCAGCATTACTGTAAGGGTGCTGTTGAAATTACAGGCACATGGGACTTGTCAACTTATGTCTCAGGGTGACAGACGCAGTGGTAGTGCTCCTCAGATCTTTGCAATTTAAAGCTCTGAGTGGCACTGTAACTTTTATGGACAGGCGTGTAGGTTACCATCAACCGCACGACTTCTTCGTCCCGTCACGTAATATAATAAAAAAAAAGTTTATAGTGAGTTTCACACGTCGTATTACTGCTGTACTCTTTACTGCTAGTAAACCACTTCTAGTTTTGTTAGAGCAAGTATTAAATCGTGTAACATAGTGAATATTTGCTATGATTTTTTTAGTAGGATATTCCTTACGTTAAAAATATATAACTATGTGCGATGTTTACATTTGCCAATTACATTGTTTTATGTAGGTACATTATGTACTTATTAAGTAATAATAGAAAAGGAATTACAAGAAACTGACAATGCAAAAACTTCCTTGTGGTTTTCCTTGAAGACGGCATATATTTTAGGTTTGTTCACTACTACGTTCATATCTGTTACGTCTTACACTACAGCAACACCTGTTTGCAATAATTTTTTATATTTAGTTATTATTATGTTATAACCTTTATTAATTTAGACAAGGTTTTAGACTTATTATTCGTATTCAGTGCAATGGAACTGCTTAAAAGTGTGTGTTATTTATTTTTCATATTAGAGTTAAGTGAAAGTGATGTTAGTGGACCGTCAAAGCCGAACAACAAGACTGTATACGTGCATACAACAGGTTATTACTGTTTTTATTATAAATAAAACTTATAGTGAATACTATCTACGCAATTATATTTGGATATTGAAGCAGTTCATATTGAACTCTGATGGCATGAGCATGAATTCGGTGGATGATGGACGGCAGAGGTTCTGGTACATCAGGGGATCTACTTCCGTAATCCGTCCGTAACAATTAATACTGTCAATTAAATAATACTCGACCAAACCAAAAGATAATATAAAGAAAGAAAGAAAGAATATACATTTATTTATTTACCACAAAAAACAAAAAAAGACAAAACAGAACTAAAAGAAAACATGATCAAAACATTCAACGTAAAACATAAACAAATAAATACAAAACAAAAACACAAACAAAAGAAAAGAAAAATGTATATACAAAAATATTATTAAATTAAAACACGAACTATTCACACAAATACTGCAAAGAACATTAAGTATTGAGACACGTTGTGTGGTGCCAGCCGCGGTACCAAAAAGGGTAAAAAAACATCACATATATTAACAACACAGCAAACTGTAGTAGCAGTGGGTTGGCCATACCTGTCGAAGAACCGATAACCGATGGAGGAAGCGAGTTCTTGAGTGAAGACCATGGCTCGGCAAACGTAGTATAGGACGTCCTCTAGCCAGATAGAGCGACGAACTGACGACCGGGCGAAATGGCGCTCATTGGGAGAGATCTATTTCCGGCAGTGGACTGTGATAGGCTGTTGATGATGATGCTGATCACATATATTGCTCCGATCCGTAATAATAACTAAAGCACTTGTGTTATGGAAATCGGAAACAACGATGGCACCACAAACACCCAGACCACATTAAAAGACTTTTTTACATTAACTGGCCGGGGATCGAGCCAGGGACCTCAGAGATAACTCGGTCCAGCCACTCGATCACGGAGGACGTCAACAATATGAAGCTGCATTCAGCGCTAAGCTAATAAACTACGTAGTAAGTAGCAGTGGCGAGGCGTCCATATAACTCAATTCCCACCGGCTTGCCTAAAATTTTCCACGTATCATCAAATATTATAAATGTTTAAAATTGACTACATTGTGTGCTCACTTATAAACAGTATAATTAACCAGTGAAATAAAGTGTACTGGTATCTTGTGTTCTAATAAGTGTTGTGATTAATTGTCACCAAGTGTAAAAGCTTGTGTTTTTCTGGCTCGCCACTGGTAAGTAGTGACGTGCTACATGCTACAGATACGTTCATTTTACATAGCGGGACCGTCGTTGGGTTAGTGTTAATTTAGTTAGCTCGATTTGCTTGGTTCGCAGTGTGAACCGAAGTATGAATAGATGCCCCGGCCATGTAAGCTAAGCTAAGATAGTTATCTTGTCAATGCGCGCCTGTTTATAAAGCATTGACATTGAAAAAAAAATGTTTCGTTCACGGTGTGGCATGCGCTTCATGAATCTTTTAATTTTGTCGAATTTAATTTAATAACTAAACAATAATTATTTGTTATTCATGACTATACTAAGTATTAAAAATAAACTTGACATTTATTAAGAAATTATTCTAATTGTTTCGGACGGGTATGGACGGAGACAGGGAGTAGACCTCCAACTCCGTTTCTTACGATGGGCTGACAGCCTGGTCTTCCCGGTTACCGGAAAGGCGGAAACAACTGTTATTACTAATATCTTTTTTTTATGACACAAAGTGACGGGACGAGCAAGTCGTGCACCTGGTGGTAAGCGACACGCCAGTCCATATCAGACACTGCCACTGCACTCGTGACTCTGTTGACAAGTCCCATTATAGGAAATGAAACTATTTTTCCGGGTTTAAATCGCTTAGTATTTCCTCTAATGAAAAATCCCAAACAGACATAAGACTGCAGTACTAATTAATATGTTTTAGTTTATTCTAATTTCTATTAATAATTAATAATAAATTAAACTTAATAAAAAATTCATTCAATAAAATAATTTGTAAAACTTAATGTAGCGTAAATTGGAATGTTTTCTTTGTAAAATTAAAAATAAGGTATTTAATTAATAACTATTGTAACTATAGTGAAAAAATAGGGTGGTTTGCATTAATATTAGACATAACTGGTTGAAGACTGTACCACCTCAGTCAACCGTGATCATGGGACCTGTAAAGGGCCCGAAACGTCGGTTTATTTGAAAAAACAGATATACGCGATTTAAATCCGGAAAAATAGTTTCATTTCCTATGTGTAACAATCGCGAAAACCTAAGAACTCGATAAGTCCCATTATGTCTGTTTTTCGCCAGTACCTTTATCAAAACCGGAACGCAGTAATGTAAGCACTACGGCTTGGCGGCAGAAATAGATAAGGTGGCGGTATTTAATAAAATAAATAAAATAAAAAGACTTTGTTCGTCAACAGAAAAGATACAATAATTTTTAAGATATGCTTTAAATCTATGTCGAAGAAAAGGAAAAATCTTCAGCAATTTGCTGGTTTTTAGGCTTCACCTGGCAAATATTCGCCGCTGGAGACACCGTAGCATATAGATACGGATATCTTTTCGATTACATATTATATAAACAATTCTTTCACAAGGAGCTCTACTGCCACTTTTGTCATGAAGTTAGAAGCTCGCACGCAGTCTAACAATATTATTTTATTATAGCGCACTAGGGAAACCCTGTATCGCGTGTGGCGTGGACGTACACATAGGCAACCACAAGTTACACCCAAACTCAGGAGAGAAATAAATGTAGGGGATACAAATATTTCCCCAGGCCCGGAAATCGAACTCTGGACCTCTGCATGGCAGTCCGCTACTGTTCCGTAGTAGTTATAGTTATAAAAAATAGTATTCTTATTGCGAATAATGGGGTTTTTTTTTATTTATACGTAATAATTAATTATCCACTTATAAACAAGAATATGAATTTATTGTTTCCATTCAGTACATTTATGAACTTTCAAATCGTGTTTTCTCAGCTCTATCATTTCGACCCCTCCTACGTAAAGTATCGTATGTCGAAAATGCCAAGTTTACAGGGGAGCGTTTTAAACTTCTGAATTCACTGAAATAAGCATAATACCTGACTTTAGCATTTCTCACTTTTATTCGGCAAAGCTCGTTAATCACATAGAACATTATAAAATTCTAGATACCGGTTAGATGATCTATAATGATCTATTAGATGATCACTCTATGTGAGTACCGAGTGAATTCAGAACTTTAAAATGCTCCCCTGTAAACTTGGCAATTTCGACATACGATCCTTTACGTAGGAGGGGTCGATTTATAGGTTACAACTCTATTCGATTTCATGTGCGATGATATTTACCTGGAAGATGGTAAAAAAATTGACAAAATCATAGACCGTGTCAACGTTGTCATGTGATTATTGTTAAAACAATCAATGAACAACACGGTATTCCATTTACAATAAAACTTAACATTTTCTGAACAAATCTTAGTAATACGTCAAAAACGGAACTATTTTAAGTTGGCCCATTATTAAGTAAGGTAGGCAAATAGGCGCTAACAACAATTTGCGAGCGGAATTACCTTAATTGCTGGTTTTTCCTGCGACTGTGGCCGCGTTGTTTGACAAGTGACGCATGCATCATGTACATTCAGGGTCAAAATAAACAGCGGTGAATAAATATATTTGCAATAGTGTGTAATTTTTTTAACCGACTTTAAAAAGGAGGAGGTTCTCAATTCGACTGTATGTTCTTTTTTCTTTTTTTTGTATGTATGTTACGCGATAACTCCGGTATTTGGAAACCGATTTTCATGATTCTTTTTTTGTTGGAAAGGGGGTACTTCCATAGTGGTCCCATTTCATTTTGAAGAAAATCATCAACCTCTGAGGGTGGCTGTTCACGCATGAAAAGTCATTTTTGTAAATAGCGCCTAAGCTTTAATTTAAGAGCAATTATTTTAATGGTTTATTTTTGCTATTTCTCCAATTCAAGGCGTTTTTCTCTCAATATACTGTGAGTAGTGAGAACCGATTTTTATTATCTCCTGTGTCAGTCCTCTATAGCCGCTCACGCGATACATGCAGCCGTAGACGCATACCACACCTAGAGGTGCCGGTGATGATTTTATACCGATTAATCGGATATCGAAGTTATAACAGGTAAAAGAACTAATATTAATTGCTATTTCGGTAACTACTGTAGCAAACCGTAAAGTTTTTAATGTCTGGATCTGTCATTTAAAAAAAAATAAACAACTTCAAAAATACGTCACGACAATCGTGTGTGTTATTGTTTGGGCTGGTGATTTCGGTGTTTATTTATTGAAAACATACCATAAGTAGCGTTTTTTAAGTTTACCCTGAATATAAATGTTTATAAACTATACTTTAAGGAGTAATGTCATGGTAAACGTTAGAACCACTCAAACGGAATATTATCATATTTATCCAAATACACCAAAAATTTCATTACT